ATAAAATTTTATATTTGGCTCATGTTCATATAACTCTATAATTTTTTGTTGTAAAATATTATATTTGTGATCATCGAGATCTGTGTAAATTCCTACTTTGCCACTTGTTAAATTTCGTTGCAATATTTCTCCTAAATCCTTATTAAGATCTGCTGAATTAATATATAATTTCTTCTTGTTGTTCTTTATTTCAAAATCTTTTGTTTTTGAATTTGTTAATATAATTTGTACCGGAAATCTGTTAACCACTGTCTCTAAAATTCCTATATGATTATTTAAGTCCTCTTCTTGAGAATGCACTGTCAATGCGTCATCGTTTGCGTTATTATATAAAGAATTTGAGCTATCATAACTACCTAAATTTATTTCTTGTGTATCAGTATTTATCCTACTTAGAAAGTCTGCTACGTGGTTATCCCTTCCCTTAATGTAGTCAATATTCATATTATAATCACTTAACTCAATCAACCACCGGTAAAGCCTTGGATTTGCGTCTTTCCCTTGGGTTTCTGTGTATAACCATTTGAGTGGCTGATGATCAGATGTAATAGTAAATTTAACACCGTACAAGTATGGCCGAAAATAGCTAACAGCCCAAACGATTGCCAATAGTTCCTTTTCTGTGACCGAATAATTACGTTCATGGTCGCTCAAAGTTCGGCTGGCAAAACATACAGGATGTTTGTCTTGTTGCAACACTGCTCCTATTGCAAATGAGCTGGCGTCACTGGCCAACTCGAAACGTTTACTAAAATCAGGGTACCTAAGTACGGGGACTTCAGTAATGATTCGTTTAAGCTTCTCGAATGAATTTATAAAATTTGAATCGTTTTCGTTTTTGCTTTTTTTTATAATACCTTGCTTAAGCATGACGGTTATTTATTCGGTTACTTCCCTCTCGTGTATTTGTGGATATCTATAAATTTTTGAATAAATTGGTCTATCGGTAGTTGTTTTTATTTCATGATGTATAATATTTGTATTAGTTAATTGCTGACCCTCAGTGTAAATTAAATCCTGATATTTATGTAGAATATTTTTTAACGCAATTTTTTCTTCATAATTCAAATTTTCATATAAATGTTTAGAAACTTTTTCATTTAAATTAATCATGTCTAGTTGATGAATTTCTTCTAATTTAAACGGATATTCCTTTTTTAATTCAATTGTACAATTATTTATAATAAAAATATCCTTTTCCATATCTATAATTGCTTTAAGAGGTTTTAAAATATTCTGTCCGAGAATCGCGTAAAAATTTTTCCCTTCAAAATGTGTCAACTTCCATGACATTGTTGCATTTTTATTAAATTCTTTGGGTACATCAGTAATTATTTCAAATTTTATTTTAGTT